CTGCTTTGCCTAGTATTCTGTGGTATTGCTGACAGCGAACTTCACTGCACTTCCACCCTAGCCGCCAGCAAGCTTCGCCCTTTCCATAGTTTTCCATGGCTGAGTTTTCAGAGGTCGATGGCTCCCATGTTACAGTGGGGATAGGAGGGACCATAAAGTGATTGGTTGGTCTCCATATGCTCCCTTCCCCCATCCATTGTCTGCTTTGTTCTGTCTTGCTCTATTCCTTGAAAGGTTGATCCTACACATAACTTCACCCAGCTTTCTGCTGGGTTTGATCAGTGGGTGGTGCAAGCAAGAGACGAGAGGACAAGATAAGGGAGAGGCTTGGGTATATGTTCCTTCTAGTCACTCCTGGTGACCTCTCATCTCTGGGACAGGGAGGTGATGGCACCTGTTTTTCTTTAAGGGCCAGAGAGTAAACATTTTAAGCCTTGTAGCCATCACATGCAAAGAGGTAAAAAACGAGAGTATTATGTAGTTACTTCTAAGTAACAAAATGTAGCCATTTACAAACATAAAAGCCTTTCTTAGCTTTTGGGCCCTATAAACAGGGCAGCTGGGCCCTGACTGTGGAGCTTCCTTTGGGTGGCCATTTCTCTAGGGTGCCAACTTAGTGGCTCCATTCACATCATTGTTCTCCCAGTCCAGTATGCCTGGGGTGGTAACAGCTGGGTCCTGGGTGCCTCACCATACCTGTTGTTGTTGTTAGGTGTCATCGAGTAGGCTCTGATTCATAGCAACCTTACACACACAGGACAAGACACTGCCTGTTCCTGAGCCATCCTCACAATTGTTACGCTTGAATCTCTTGCTGCCGCCACTGTGCCAATCCAACTTGTTGGGGGTCTTCCTCTTTTTCCACTGACACTCCTACTTTACCAAGCATGATGTCCTTTTCCAGAGGCTGGTCATTTCTGCTATGTCCAAAGTATAAGAGACTAAATCTTACCATCCTTCCTTCTCAGGAGCATTCTGGCTGCACTTCTTCCAAAACAGATTTGTTTGCTTTTCTGGCAGTCCGCGTGGCTCCTTTAATCCTAACCACTCCTCTGTAGATAATTTCTTCCTTCAGTTCTATCAGTTTGACCTTTCAGAGTGTGCCTTTTGTTTCCTTCCAGGTCAGGGAGAGGGGTCAGGAAAGGCGAGAAAGGTTTATGGTACTAAGTGAGGCGAAATGTTCTGTCCAAGGTAGAGTGAATGCCCAAAAGCATTATGGGATCATCATGGAGAACACACTGTGTTAAAACACGATGCTGAAATTCTAGTCCTAAATCTGCCCTTCTTCTGAAAAAAGGTACCCGTCACTTCTTTTACCTTCTTATTTGTGCTTTTATTCTCAAATCTCCAGCCCTTCCCAGCCCAGATATACTTAAGTGTATCTCTTTTCTCTCCTCTGTTCTCATAGAGTTGGTAAGAAGAATGCCACTTTCCTTGGATGGAGAATACCAAAATGATGTGGTTGGTCCCAAGAAAGTCTGCCCAGCATGGTGCTCTGGGGGTGGTGGTGGTCATAGTTATATCACATGACCAAGCTCTTTAACAAGAGATGGTGGAGTCCCTATTTTGTCCAGGTACAATTCTGTGAACTGGGGATTCAATGATGACTTGAACATAGCTGGTCCACCTAGGGGGTCAAATCTGGCCAGGAGGAGACTCATAAACTTGAATAATGCTACCAACAGGCACTTTATGCATCAGCCACCTAGCTAAGTGTTGACACTGGCTGCTCCTCCAGGCCAAAGCAACAAGGGAGTACTGTAGAGATGCTTAGCAAACCCACTAACATCAACCTGGCCTTTCTGGTGTACAGATCCTAACCAATGAACATTAACCAAGCAGTTGTGTTTGTGGTGAAAATGGATCTGAAGTCGAATGTAAGTGAGTTTCTTTGTTGAGACTTCTGACCAGTCAATGAGTATGACTCTGACCCCTCTGCCTGTCTTAATAATCCAGGTACCACACTTTCTGCCACTGGGGAGCTTCTCAAGGAATGCTGCTGGAATCTTAAGTGATAACCTCTATTTAAAAGCATGCATGTCAGAAACCCTCTTCAAAGGATGAAAGAAAAGAGTTCAGAAGTGAAGGGAAGAGACTGACTGATCCAAGTGGCCAAAATACAAAGGAGATACAGACCAAGAACAGTACAGAGGCTGGGGCTGCAAAGAGGGTCATGGGTGACCTCAGGGAATAATTTAACCCAGGGGTTCTCAAACTTGATCGAGCATCAGTGTCATCTGAAGGGCTAGTTAAAACCCAGATTGCTGGGTTCCACCCCAGAGTTCCTGATTCAGAAGGTCAGAGATGGAGTCTGAGAATTGGTGTTTTTCACAAGTTCCAGGGTGTTGCTGATGCTGCTGATTTGGACCACCTTTTGAAGCAGTGATTTAACGCAAGATTTCAGGAGGGAAGTCAAGAATAGGGGCTGTGGAGGTGTGGTAACTAAGGTGGTAGAGGAGTAGAATTCTTGCTTCAGGAGTCTGGGTGTGAAATTTGAAAAGGGAGGCATTGGAGAATCAAAGGATTCTCACCGGATGAGAAAAAGGTGGGCAAGGTGAGAGGGAGAGAGTGTTTCTGGTGGCCTTTTGTGGCACTACGCTATGAGGTTTGAGGTGGGACTGGAATTTGTATTTCTTAAGCTCTCCCAGGTGATTTGATACTCAGTCAGGTTTGTTAGATACGCTGTACACTAACTTCCAGACAGTGCCTGGTACACAGTAAAACCCACTGCTGTCAAACTTATTCCATAGTGATCCTACAGGATAGAGAACTGCCTCAGAGGGCTTCCGAGGCTGTAAATCTTTATGTAAGCAGACTGCTATATCTTTCTCCCAAAGAGAGGCTGGTAGGTTTGAAGCAGTTAGCAGCACAACACATAACCCACTTACCACCATGGCTCTTTGGTATATACTAAACCAAACTGGTTCTGACTCATAGAGATCCTATAGAGACTTTCAGAAACTGTAAATCTTTAAGGGGCAGATAACCTCATCTTTCTCCCCTAGTGTGACTGGTGGGTTTGACCTTGTGGCTTGCAGTCCAGTGCTTATCCTATAGCACCACTAGACCTGCTTGGGTCTATACTGGGTACCCAACAAAAAGTTATTGAATACATACTAATTCCAAGTGGGCATTGAGAATGTTAGGTTTCTAACTGTGTTTGTCATGATCCCTAATTTATTTCATTGAAGTAATTTCTAAACCACCTGCTAATACAAGAATAACAACCTCTCAAGCAGAAATTGGATTCTGCAAATAGAATTCAGGCTCTTTCAAAGCCGAAGATTACAGAAATGAAAACCTGGCTGTAACCAAAGATGCTGTTTATTAGGCACAAGGCATAGCTTCTTAGGGTGGGGGTGGGGAGAGAGAGATAATCCCCTTTCTTCTTCACCTCTCAGATTCTACTTGACTCCTTCTTGTCTATGCTTGCGTGTGTACGTGTCACTTCAAGCTTCACATTAGAAATTCATTAGTGGCAAACAGCTAACGCTTGTCAGGCAAGCTGCATTCCCCCCAACATCCATTCAGAGTTCAAGCTATAGTCCCAGGGGCAGCTTATCTTAAAGCGAGAATCCCAGTGCTTGAAACAGACCAAAATGGAAATGCATTGCAAATAGCGTGAGCAGGGCTAGCTGGGCAAAGGACAGCTGTGGACCAGGTTTCACTCTACTGAATCTGAAATCATTTTCTTTTGATTCCACAGGAGTGTTTTCATAAAATTAGGAACTAAGGGAAATGATGAATATTATTTTTGTTGGAATTGAAAGAGGGGTTGGGCTGAGGGTGAGTGTGTTCTTGTGTATGCGGCAGCAATGAGTATTTGCTTTTATGTTGGGTCTATATACTGGAGGCTTTGGAGTTGGCTTGCAACATGTAGCCGGAGGCTAAAGTCTTGACTTGGGGCCGTGGATTCCAGAATTAGGCAGATCAAGCATTTCCCCATCTTAGTTTCCTCCCTTATGAACTGAAGGAATGGGGACAGATCACATCTAGAGTCTTTTCTAGTACTCTCTGCCAACTGCCAGAGTACAGATGATTATGGGAAAGGCCAAAGAGCAAGGGATTTGGATGGATCACATGAATTTAAAGATATTCACTCCCAAGGGGAATAGAATTGAGGCGTTTCCGGAAGTATTAATTGCCTCTTATAGGAACTGACTCAACAGCACACAGCTATCACCACTGTAGGAGTCCTGGTGTGGTGCTGCAGGATAAGAACTGGACTACTTGTGGTGCTAAAGGTTAAGCACTGGACTGAAAGATTAGTTTTAATGGCGAGATCCGTGGTTCAAACTTTACCACTTGCTCCTTGGAAACCCTATACAGGGTGGCTATGAGTTGGAAACAACTCAACGGCACTTAACAACAACAACAACTAATTGCAAAGTTGGCAGTTAAAACCCACCAGTCGCTCCTTGGAAATCTGATACAGGGTGGCTATGATTCCATGGCTTTCCAATAAGCAAGAAGGTTTTAAGTTATAAAGGTGCAGAGAGAAGAGACGGTAGAGAAAAAAGAGGATTTGCTCACAGTCAGAGAGAGTGAACCTAAAGCTGCTACAGGTCTCCTCAGATTCCCCACCGTTCCCACTGTGTCCCATACACAGACGGGCAGCTATGAAAGGGGAGTGGGGCTTCAGTTATGGTGATAGGAACAACGGCATTGAGAACCCTACAACTTTTGTTAGGTAGAGGAATTCCCTATCGAATGCAGTCAAGAGATATATGAGAATTTATAGTCACCCTCTGGGGTTACAACCTATGGCACTTGCTTCACCGTCCACCCTCTCTCTATCCACTACGCGGACATGGTGATTTTAAAAGCCTAGTTCTCCACTTTGATAATATGGAAGTTGAGAAAGTAATAAATAGCTTGTCCTTCCAACTCCCTCATTTTAGATTTTTTTCCCCTTGATATCAGATGGATTCTGGTTTGATATGTTATCGTGTTGAAAGACCTGATTCTTGAGATGGGTTTTCAGGTAGTGAGAGACATACCTTGATCGGAGAGTACCACTTCCGGGGAGAGGAGGGTCTGCGCATATTGTTGTTGAGGTTTCGAGGTTCAGGGAATTCATACTCCTGCTCAGGCATTTTGACTCTTGCATTCTTTGCCTTTTCTAATTTAGCCCCTTCTTCAGTGGAGCCCTTTTCTCCCCAACGAACCTAAAGTAAATAAAATACAATGGAACAAAATGACAAAATACAGTATACTGTCCCTGGCCCTGGTGGCATAACAGTTAAGCACTTGGCAGATAAATGAAAGGCTGCCCATTCAAACCCACCCAATGACTCGGTGAAAGAGAGCTCTGGTGATCTGCTCTGGATAAGATAAAACCTATGGGGAAGTTTTACTCTCTCACATAGGGTTGCTCTAAGTCAAAATGGACTCAATGATCTTAACAAAAACAGTAACAAGGGAGAATGATAGGAGTCCCTGAGTACTGTGCTTGGTACTGACATTCAAATCCACCCAAATACACCTTGGAAGAAAGGCCTGGTGATCAACTTCTGAAAACTCAGCAACTGAAATCCTATGGAGCACAGTTCTATTCTAACACACACGGAGTAGGCACGAGTCGGAAATGACTTGTTGGCAACTGTTTAAGAGAATGGTAACCACAATCATGAGATGCACAGAGCAAGTGCTACCAGTCCTCAGTTCTACTGGGGCTTGAGGGCAGCAAATGGGGCAGACATGGATAAGGGAAAGGCAGAGCTGAAAGGTCGGTGGGAGTAGGCTGTGTGGATGGGCTGTGTTAGGGGAGGAGTCATTCAGGCTGGGGCCACAGCTTATGTGAAGGCCTGTGAGCCCAAGAAAAAAAACCTCTGGATTTTATTCCAGTGAGAGAAGAAACCACTGGGACATTTGAGCAGACAGTTAGACTCTCTGATCCATGGTAGGTGAGACACAGGGCTGTATAGTTCAAAGACTATACCTTCTATCTCCTCATCTTTCCACCTTATAAACCACCTTCCTGCTGGATTTCAAGTATGAGTTTTGCTGCAGAGCATAAATGCTGAAGGTTTTTTGCCTGTGAATGACTTCAGTCAGACAGCCGTTCCACTGTGTGTTGAGGTTTAAGTGTTCAGATGATAGTATCTCTTGAGTACCCCACGCTCTTCTGACAGCTGAACTGCCAGCTAGAAACAGACTAAATTTAAAAGTGGGTCTTGGGCCACTTCCCCTGGCCACATCCTTTAATGGTCTCTTGGTTGTGTTGCCATATGGCCAGAGCCTTGGAGACTAACCTTTCCTACCTTCCAAGCTTTCTGTAGGCCCAGCATGGGTACATGACACAATCATGGTTGTGGGAGGAGATGCCTTTGTTCTCTGTGCCCTATAAAAGGTCATCAGGGGAATATGGGACTTTGAAATTCATCGTGGTCTGTGATTTCCCTCACCCAGATAATCTAAATTTGTCTTTGTCTTGTGTTTATTCCTGTTTAAGACTTAATAGAGCAGTCTCTATAATATTTATATATTTGATGATGCAGTATCTTTCCTCCCATCGGTTCCCACCAGTCTGCTTTTGTTTTCATTACTGAGCAGTCGGCACAGAGGTGTATAGACATTTGGTTACGCTCTTACCTCCATCCTTTTAATGCCTCCAACCCCACGGCCGCCGTAGTAAGAGGCATCCACTGTAGGCCACTTCTTCTTAGGCAGCCCATCGTCATCTTCTTCCTGCAGACAAAGAGATTGGACCCCGTGAACTTTCTGCTGATGCATGAAGAGGCCAAATAGTATTGCTGCGAGTACAAAGTTCAGGGTACTGTGGCAATGTGGAAGAGACAGAGCCTGCAGTGTCAGACCACCTGGGTGACATCCCAGTGCCACCACGTGGGCTTCTGAAAATCACTAAGCTTGTTTTCTCTATCTGTCATGTGAAGGTGAAAGCAGTAGTACCTGGGAGGCTGTGGCACAATCCTTAGACCTGTTCTCTTCTGCATCTCTACCCCTTTGGAAGGAGTGTCTGGGAAGTGTAAATGAACTACCAATGGAAAGATTAGAGGTTCAAATGGTTCCAACCCATGTAGTGGTGTCTTGGAAGCAAGGTGTGGCAAGCTGCTTCCAAAAGGTCAGAGCCTGGACAACCTCATGGAGCAGTGCAGCTCTACACACAAGGGGTTGTCATGAGTTGGAACTGACTCAAGGGCAGCTTATTTGTAGGGGCCCTCGTCTAATCCCATCTACATGACCCCTGATAGCCCTTGGATTTCTACCGTCAGTTCTGGCTTCCCTGCACTCCAATAGCTGACTTGTCATTGACAACTACTCCTGAGATAAGCAGCCATCCCCACAACAGACCATGACATGAAGGCCTGGGCTCCCCCAATCCAAACCTACTCCTCCCCAGCCATCCCCATGGCTTGGGAATCATCCTTTTTTTATTTTTAATGTTTCATTGTGAATTATGTGATAGTTTACATGGGAGAACATTAGTTTTACATTCATCCTATCATATCATTGCCATGGTTACAATCCCCTCCATGCATCATCACCCAATCAAAGGGTATACACTACAAGCCTGCCCCACGATCATCAGCACACAGCCCCTCACCCTCTCTGTGTCTAAATTCCCAGCTGCTCCATCTCTCCACGTCATTGTCTCTCTCATTGCCCTGCCCTAACCCTGTCCTGATTTGCCAGCAAGGTCTGTTGACCCTGTTTCTCAAAAATCCCAAATTCTACTGACTTTTCCATCTCTATTACCACCCAACGACTCTCTCTTGAATGTGCAGTGGAGCCTCCTAACTGGCATTGCTGCTGCCATGCTTACACTCCGATGTGCCATTCTCTACAAAGCAACCAGGAGAAAGCCCACCCCCGACATTGCCTTGTGTGTGCCAGCCTTTGCTCCCCTCTCAGCCTTCCCCTTGCCATGCCCCCCCTGATGCTCAGCTGCTCGGAGAACCTTGCTGTCTCAGGGCTTGTGGAGAAGCCATCCATCTCCTCCTTCAGAAATGTTTCTCTCTGGTCTTCTCATCCTGGCTCCAAATTACTCCTCAGAGAGGCCTCCCCAACATTCTTCTAAAGTACCCCTGACACCCTGTTTATTTACTATCTGTCCTATCACACTAAGGATCTGTGATGGTGCAATGGTTAAGCACTCAACTGCTAACCAAATGGTTAATGGTTCAAACCCACCAACTGCTCCATGGGAAAGAGATGAGGACACTGGCCTCAAAAACCCTATGAGCAACTGTACTCTGTCCTGTAGGGAAGTTACGAGTTGGAATAGACTTGATGACGATGTTCCCTCCCTCCCCTTACCATACTGTAATGCGATTTCCTTGGAAACTTTTTATTACTTGGTGTTTTCACCACTGTATTCCCTGATTCTAGAAGACCACTTGGGACATGGTGGTGGTGGTGATGAGTGTGTGCCACTGAGTTGGTTCCAAAGCATAATGACCCTGTGCTGGGTTTCTGAAACTGTAAATCTTTATGGGAGCAGAAAGTCTCATCTGCCTCCTGAGGATGGTAGATTTGAACTGCTGACCTTCCACTACACTACCAGGGCTCTTAGTACATGGTTGCTGTTGTTAAGTGTTGTCGAGTCAGTTCTGACTCATATCGACCCTGTATAGGGTTCCCAAGGAACAGTTGGTGAGTTTGAACCACTGACCTTGTGGTTCAAAACAACCTGCAGTCCAGTGCTTTATCCCACTAGTACATGGCTGTTTTTGTTAGGCGCCATGGAATCAGTACCAGCTAATACTGATTGTATGCACAACA